TAGTTTACAATTCTTGCTGATTACCTCTTCCATCTCCATGAATTTTTGAAGACTTGCTCCTTACAGTCCTACTGCCCCTATTTGGGGGCCACAGAATGAACAAATGAACAAACATACACGTATCCTTCCTAATTTTAGTGATGAAAGTGCTTGCTGGAGAGATAAAAAGCATAGCACATTAAACAGGGAATGCTGCAAGAGTGCTACAGTGTGCCCTAGCATAGTACTATTATGTAGCTGCATATTTAAAAAAAAAAAATCCAAAGGATATCTACATCATGATCATCATGATCACCACCACCATCACAACCACATAGTCTATGTTAGCATTTGTGTATAAAGAGGCAAACTGAATGAAATCAGTAGCAGAAGGCAGATAAATCAAGCTCCACCTAAATATAGTGCTTTGGCAATATATCATCTCACTTCAGTAGCATGTACACACCTTTCTAATCAAATTCAAATCAAAGAAGGAAGAGGCTTACATCATAATCTTTAGGCAAACACTGGAAAATCCAGATGGCTGCAATTGGACCCGACATGTTTACCATGATCCCATGAATTGTTTGCCTTGGGTTTTTTTTCCCCCTAAATTGCTCAGCTCCACTTTTGATTTGTGCATTGCTTTTGTATTAAAGCTACACATATTTTTCTGTAATCAGTCATGCAACGATTTGCAGAATGTTGTAGATATGGCTTTACATGGCCATAAATACATGGTACTTGGTTGGCAAGACAGTCATACAATGGAGGAAATTATTTTAGTATAAATTCATTCATGTAGGTCTGAGTTTCATGAAGCCCTCCTATAGAAGTATCAACAATCAACTCTGGCCCTAAAAGAATTTAATTTGTAATCATACTAGTGGTGCAAGAATACTCTGTTTTATTCTGTAAAACTAGAAAATGCACATACACAGAGAAATAGAGACAAAAATGTGTACACAATTTTGGGGAAAAATATGACTCCAACATGGAAATGGGAATGAAGCAAAATTAAAGCTGCCGAGAAACTTGGCAGAAACTTGACAGATTCATCCATCACTAGTCACTACCAGGACAAGAAGAGGGAAGGAGATTTTTAAAATGCATCAAATTGTGTGGCATTTTATATGACTTCTACTTCTTTTTAAAAACTATTTAGCATCACTTACATTTTCCCTGGTCAAACAAAGATAATGGTTTCCTGGCACACTACACACCCCAGCTAACACTCTAGTCTCAAAGGGCTCTCTTGGGCAGTTCATCATA